CTACAGAGGCCTACAGAGGATCCACAAAGCGTAGATGGGGCGTCGAACGTTGATGTCAGTTGTGCAGGCAGTCATGTTACATGGCGCAGAGGCTGGGCCATCTTTCGCTTAGGTGGCACCTGGAGGCTCTCAAAGATTGTCTGACAAATGTATTAAGTAATTTTGTCATAATTTATTCTGAAAATTTAATACACAAATTAAAATAAGTGTTAATTCTTCCTTTTATGGTAAGCAAATGAAATGTAAAAGAGTATTAGAGGATGGGATTAAAATCCCATTAGGGTTCACATGATTTTATTTTGCTTCTTCAACTTCCCATTAGAGAACGAGAATTCATTAGAGGGCGTGTTTGATAATATTTTATCATCTGCGGGGCCCTCTTAACGTGGAGGCCTGAGACAAGAGCCTCGTCAGACCTTTGCCCAAAGATGGCCCCGCTCAGGGATCTGAGCCAACGCAATGAGGGGCGAAAGATACGAACGGCAGCGCAAAGAAGCGACTTGGCAATCCGGACTGTCTGAGATGCCGCAGTCTTCGTGGTCGCTGCAGCAATACCAATCCATTTTCTGGCGCAAGAGCCATATACGACGAGAAATCACGAACGAATTCGGCAGACACCCAAAGAGAAACGAGAAGACGTGCCCTACGACGGTGGGAGAGAAGATGGAACGGAGAAAGCCCCAATCCTAACAGAACAAGGATGATTCCGAGCGTATTTGCACCGTATGGCGAAGGCCGACTGCGACCACGCGTCGGACGACGTCCATCACACATTCTCCATATGTGGGAGACGGTACACAACGGAGGAGACCGTACAGGAAAAACTAGGCGACATCAACCCACAGAATGAAACCTCCAAGATGCCAACTACAACACACGACTAACTACAAGACAAATGAGACACGCGACAAGACCAACTAGACTAACTACACAACACCGAAAAAATAATCCAACCCTTCGGTCGGCTGCTAACGATTGAAAAAAAAAAACTTGCATTTCTATGCCTTATCACACCTCCCACACACATATTCTTTTTATATTACAAGGGACTTTGCTTCCCTCTCCCGGCATGTCATTCTCTGGCTTATCACAATATGCCATGGACATTAAAAAAGTATCTGAGCCCAAAATGTTGGGGGAATAAAAGTTAGCTACTCTTAGCTGAGGACAGTGGCGGATCCACGGGGAGACCTTGGGGGCCATGGCCCCCTCCAAAAGGCCTAGTTTTCGTTTGTTACCTTCTTTTGATTGGAAAAATTAATTTAAATATTTATTTATATTAGAATTATGTAATTACTTAAAAAAGTATATTGCATAGTATCATATATACACTACAAACATAAACAGTATAATAACTAAAGACTAGATTCCCGTGTGACAGCATCTTTTCTTTTCTAAACTGAAATTGGATGAAACCTTGACAAAAATTTGAATTATGAAACGGACGTTATTTTAGTAGTACTTGTTTTATTTTGCACGAAATTGCACATTTGAGGATTACAGCACGATATTGCACTTTTTACGTAATGCTACCTGAAAATTGCACATTTGGGGATTTTACTGGAACTAATTTGCTAGATTCATAATTTTATTGCACAAAATATCAACTTGTTTTAATTTATCTTTTTTAATGGTTTCACTTCATAAAAAGTTTTTATGTCATAACCCAGGAGTGCATTCGGGTGGTCTGTGAAACCCCAGTGACGTTTAATATACATCAATTCCGCATTTTGATGTCCAATGAACTGTGCGTCTATACGTTTCATGCTACTAATAGAACAATGATTCTGGTTTCTGAGTTATTGCAGCAGGTATATGCGGTGTTAAGAACTAGGTCCGCAGCCATGGTTGCGGCCGCTCAGCCAATGATATCTTCCTAATAGGATCATATATCCCCTTTGTCAGTCTTCGCTAAACTTACCATCATGACAATGCGCGACACACATTGATCATACGTTCGGGCGCGAGGCAGTGGCAGCTGCACTGCGTTTCAAATTCATCGAATGTCTCGGAACGGATGTTGCCCTGCGTGATACGAGAGAGAATGATAGCAATTTTTGACCATTTTTCGCTGCGTGCTCACGTACGTCAGAGTGAGAATCGGCACACAGACGTTCAACATATAAAATACATTTAATATTTGTCATTAATAAAAATCTTTTTATAAGAAAATACCAAGTCGGTTGTGCTCCTTCTCCCCTGAGGAAAATCCTGTGTGTGCCTCTGTCCATTATGGTTGACATATAATGAATATCATCACTACAGTCTTCCACTGTCAACGTTCCGAAGTTAAAATTTAGGGGTAGTTCATCCCTCTGCCAGCGGTAATTTCATTTAGGAGCGCCGGCGCCCCGACTCTCGCTTTGCCCGAGGTCGTACGTACTCCGCCTGCGCCGCCTGGCGTTTCGCCATTTGCTCTGGCTTTCCCGGAAGATCCTTGCCTCAACCCGGAGCGTGTAAATGTAGAACTAAATGAGTGACCAGAGTGAGAGAGACATAACAGACCAGTGTAAATGTAGAACTAAATTTGCCCTGTTTCAAACGTATTAGTGGATAGAAGATATAATAATTTCTCAGAAAATAATTTGGAAATATACATAATTGTAAATTATAATGAAAACAATTGGGATCATTTCTTTTGTAACTGAAGGTATATTTGTATTTTTCAATTTTGTAATTTACTTTTTTGTATTCTTATGGTAATTGAATTTTGATTGCGAAAAATATTTTAAATTTAAAATATTGTTTGTTTAAACAATATATTGTGTAAACTTAATTATAATAAAAACACTAAAATCATAATATTTCATTCACCTCTCACATCCAAAATGTAAAATATGTTGATAAGTGGATTAGGGTTATAGAATACATAACATCGTTTTAATCTTTGTATTGCAGTAAAAGCACTAAAATCTGCAAAAACATGCACGTTTTAGAGACTTTTACTGCATGAAAATCCAGTCTTCAATAATGAAAATATTTTATTTAACAAAAATCTATGATGGTCCCCTACAAAACAATCGGCTGGATCTATCCCTGACTGAGAATTGTCTCCTGAAATGGATGCAGGCAAGGGGCCAGTGCTAGAGCAAAACTGAAAACATTCTCCTTACTAGCAAGGAAAACTAGTATGAGGAATTCTGTGCCATTTGTAGCATGTCAAGTTTTATAATGAAATCTATTTCTTAATATAAAATCTTTAAATTATCTCATTAAACATTTTTGTAAATATCTACACTCTTTTAACATTGAAGTTAGAAATTTCATTCTTAATTCTGTTTTCCAATATTAAATCTTTCAATCACTTAATGTGCACTTTTTCTATATATTAATTATATTCATTTAATTTTGAGTTGTATCATTTGCATTTTGGCATATCATGTCAGTAGAATAGACAACAGTGCAATATAATGATACTGAGTAACCATTAACGATAACATGAGAAAGTTTGTGCAGTGGTAGCACCTCTGCATTATTTTGTGTTCCATTGTTGTGCCAGGGGGCAGAGTGGTCATGACAATAGTTTGTTCTCGGCAGTTAACAGTGCATTCCCTTGGAACAAATTGGTTACCCAAATTAAAATAGTTTGAGCTTAAGGAAAATAAAAGCCAGTTTGCTGCTTGTTCTTTATTCATAATATATAATTGCACTTACAGAGGCATTGTCTACTGTCAACAAATTTCTATTTAATTAGTGTTCTTTTCTCAGAACTAAACAAATTTAATAACATTTAACATAAAATGAAATGATATATATATATATTTATACATAATACCAACAAAAAGATATTTTTACTCTTTTAGGGAGTTTTTAAAATAAATCTCTTTCTTTTCAACAATCATTACTTTTTAATTTTAATGGTGAAGTTTAATGAAAGAAAATTCACCATTAATTATCAAACAATGTTTTTGTTATTTGTATTTTTTCTTAGCAAAAACATAACTTGAAAATTGTTGAAGTAATGTTTTTACAACACATTTCTGAAACATAAGAAACATTTAGACAAAAATTATATAATTGAAAATTTTCCTGCTTGAATTACAATTTTTGTGAAATTTACTAGATACATAATACTTAAGCATGTAACTTATGAATTCACAGAAATGTAATCTAGAGACACTTGTATTTGTAACTTATTTTCAAGCAAACTACATGATTATGTTTCACACCTCAACATTGATCATTTGTAATTGCCTAGGAATAAAATACAATGTTTATATGCTTTCAAGACTAGTAGTTCTCATTTTAACACAAAATGCTCATAGATAAAGCGGGTTGCCTCTCACTGATTGATTGAGGTATTTTATTATCAGAATACATATCATTACAAATGTTCAAGTCATTTCATATTCTATATTTTATGTGATAATGAAAAAATAGTGTATGAATACCCAAATAGACTATTAAAACTACTTTATGCAAAATTGTTTTGAATGAATGAGAACCACTGACATATGTATAATTACATATGGTGATGTATTTATTTAATTAAATGTTTATACAATATTTCATAGTATATTTGAACATAAAATTTTAAAAAGTTCTATCTTAATTCTATTATAAGAGAGAACAACAACAATCACAATCAGGCAACATCATCACTTTTCCTTTCCCTCTTCATTGTCTTCATGCTCTGGGCAATTTCTTTCAGAGAAGTACAGATAAAGAGGTCCACAACTACCTTTTCTTTTCTTTTACACATGCAAAGTACACACAAAGTTTCAGTATTAAAAGATTTGGTGCAGTTTTTCAAATTCTTTGCATGCTCTGACACACATTTTAATTTCAGCTTAGTATACCATCAATTCTTTTCCACAGTTCTAATGCAAATACTGGTTCTTATCTATTGTTAATTCTCAACTCAAATGTTCTAATGTAGATTGCTACACGCTGAGTTCTTCTGTGTAAGAAAATATAATATTTCACAAAAAATATTCACTATCTTTGATAGACTGATCCTCTAATAGCTCAACTTTTCAAACATGCTATTTGCTCAAGTTATTCTCATCTTGATTACAATGAAGGTAGACAAGATTATGCAAGTATCTTGCACTTTGATATAGAAGACACCACAAATATCTTCATCATCATTTAGTACGAGTGTGATAGAAAGATTGGAGGAAACAATCTCCATTAACTAGTCCCTTTACATTTTGCAAGTCATTATAAGAGGATGTTGCATCAAATTTGTACAGAATCCATTAGTACCTTGCAAATTGCTTCTATTTGAAGCTAACAAAGGATGTACTTCTTTGTCACACAATGATTTTAAAAACTTAAAGTTTTTAAAATTCACTGAAATTACTACTCATATTTTTTCGTAAACTTATGTACACGTAGATGATAATGACCCATTTTGACAACTTCATTCTTTCTCTAAAATCTGAGTTGTGATGAATGTATGGTACATTTCCTCAGCTTATATTTTGAGTATTGTCTACAAATATAGATCTACCTTACTCAACAAATCTCAATTACGGTGTAAAGGAAATGAGAATTGAATTCTTTAAACTGTAGATTTTGTTCTTAACTAAAGCTCAAAATACAGTTATTTCTAAAATAGATCATTAAAAATAAAGTGTAGGCTAATTGATAAAAAAAAAATCAGAATTAAAACAAAATGTTATATGAATCAAAATATTTAAAATAATTATATTTAATTTGATAACAAAAAAGAGCAAAAAATGCAAAGAGTACAATACCATTGGCTCAAACAATCACTATTTGACATTACATATCAATAAAATGTTTGGAATTTTGGTCTAGAGCAAGACTGCTGAAATGCAAGAACTGGGGCAGACTTCCCGTGAAGGTCTGCTGCAGTGGCCTGTGAGCCATTCATCTTTCACTAGACTAGAGGCGGTTCAACAAGGAGTGAGTCACATTAGACCAGTCACTCAGGCAGCCCTACCATTTTGAGCTCTTGCACTGAAACTTGTACTCCGTGCACGAAAAAATATGAAGTCCTTGTGGCAATGAAGGGTCACAGGAAAAATTGCACTTTTATTTTTTTAATTTTTTTTTTAAGAGAAATTGTAAAGCTCTGGATGATCACTCATGTACATAACAAATAAATGATGACCATTCAACTAATAGTAGTGCCATATGAAATATTCTTTTCTGAACATGATATCATACACTGAATCCACATACAGTTTAATTACTATTCCAAATTGACATTTCACAAGGCTAGGAAGTAATCTAATATGCATTAATAGAAAAATAACAATGTGCTTTATTATTTTTTTTACTAACAATATTTTCACTCTTGTTTATAAAAATTGGCATGTAAGGAATTATTTAAAATACAGTAACATTGCTGCAAACCACTAAAAAAAATTATTTGTGGTCATCTTGAAATATTAGTTTTGTAATAATAATTCTATACAATAATTATCATTGAGTAGGCTTCAAAAGAAGCCTATACTGATCATGGTTGGTATCTGGTAATACTTCAAGCATAAATCTGGTTTCGTTACGAACATTGCGAATTACATCATCAGTGAGTAGGACATGTATACCAGCTGGTCCTTGAAGTAAAACGTCACTTAATTGTGATACAGGAACTCCCACAAGATTAGCTAGCTTTCCAACAAATTCTGCATAAGACAAGCTGTGGAGGTACAATGCTCGATATACGGGGCTTTGCTCTTCAACACACAAGTAGAGAGTGAGGCTTGGTGCAATTGACCTGAAATCAAATGACAGAAACATTTCATTGCACAACTTTTTTTAATCAAGACAACAGTACATTTGAATAATTTTCTCTATAATAAAGTCCTATTGCAATTGCAGTTGTTATCCAGAATGGTATTGCAACACATCAAACAGTACGTGACATATATTAGAAAATTGGTTAGAAGGTGAAACAGAAAAAAGAAGGTAGTGAAACTTACAAAAGCATGGTCCCATATGTTCTCATAAATATTCCAACAGATGAAGATTTAAACCAAAACGTTTATTAAAAAATTACATTTCAATTTTGAGTTCCCATGTAAGAGAGAACACATTTGTATATACAAAGATTGTGAAGATTGTTCATATCATCAAGAAAACTACTTCACTCGTGAAATTAAGACCAACAAAAATCCAGCTGATGTAAGCTAATCAGAGCTGTGATTCACAAAAATATTATCTCTTTACACTACCACTTGCACCAATGAAAGATTATAACCACCTTTTCACAAAAGTAGAAAGCAGTGAATTTCCACTTTTGGATTGTTCTCATTCTAATGCATGTCAGTGCATGAAAATAGAATTTTATTGCATGTCAGTGCATAGACAATGTTATTTAACAATTTTACTGACTGAAAAATACAAAGCTTTATTGAAATGAAACAAAGGAGTCAAAACAAGTTATTCGATAGAAAAGGGACATTATCAGATCTATAATGTATCTTTAAACTTAACTATCTGGGCATGGTTTTCTGAACTCTCTTTTTGGTAGAGATCAGGGCAAAAGGGTGGGGGGGGTCTTTGAAAGCAATATTATCAAATCAAATCTGTACTTCATTTGATTGAAATACATTTTCTATTACGAGAGAGGGAAATTTACAGTTTTGCAATGTTGTTAACCATGCTTATTGGCACCTTTTAATTATGTAGTATAGTAAAAGTGAAAGATAAAAATACTGGAATTCAAGAAAACTTGTGCAGATTACTTTCCTTCCATTCGTCAAAGAAGTAAATACTAAATAAATTCAATTGGACTTACTTGGCGTGAAGAGCATTATGCAAGCGAATGCCATCAGCCAGTCCGCACAGTTGCACCAGGTCGTCCCTTGTGAGGCGGAGGAGGTCGGCTCCTGAGAAGGACCCAAATGTGCGCAGGTGAGCAGTGAAGCGTTGAGCTTCCAACCAACGAGCTGCTTGGGCAGCGGAGGCTTCTCTTGGAAGGGGATCCCCAGGCGAAATCTGACAGAGCAGAGAGAAGGTATGAGTATAGTATACATATCATTCAGTAGTGCTGCTCATTCTGTTTTCTGGCTTGTTAAGTATCTGCACACATACGGCTAGCGATTCTGGTGGAGTAAAACTAAAAATAGCTGGTACTGAAGTCTGTTAACCTGTTTTCAAAGTTGTATTTATGAAGAGCTGGTTAAAAACTTAAAAGTAATTTGTGCTGTTTCTTGACCTTGTGGTTTCATTTTCCCAAGATTTCAAGGGCAAGTCACCAAAAACCAATTAAATTAAATAGAACTAATTATTCTATTTTAGCTCTTTATTTGGCATGTACTGACATTTGACACATATGCATCAACTGGATTCTTATACCTTTCCAACTCCAACTTTCATGTAAATAACTTAACATGTATGGAGAGGCTGCAGACTCTTCTATAATTAAATGAGCAATAATAAAGAAAACAACCCAGAGTTATGTGCCCCCCCCCCCACACACACACACACACAAACACCTAGCATTGTAGCATTAAATTGCATTGTATGAAAGATGATTCCAGTAACATACATGCAAACTCTCATTTGAAAAGTTCTGCACTGAAGTGTACATATATTAAAACAAAATAAGTAAGAAATATCAACTTTTAGTCAAAATACGTGAAAACAGGGGTGGTTCCACAGGGAGGGAAATGAGGGAAATTTTCCCCCTAAAATTTTTCAGTATATTCATTTTAACTTGTCAAGAAATATTCAAGCAAAAATATTTTAGGATAATCATTAAAACTTCAGAAAATTGAATTGCAGCATGAGCTAGTGTAGCCTATGACATTTTACAAAATCTATAATACGACACCTTTGTTTTGGTCAAAAACATTTTGAATTTCCTCTCCCAAAATTCGTTTCTGGATCCTCTGGTAAAAACATGTAATAATACTAAAATATGTAAAATAAATATGGTTCTTATTTATTCAGAATGTCTTGATAACTCAAAAATTGTCAAATTAAAACAAAAATTATAGTGAATTGTAATTTTTTTAAGTTCATGAAACTTACAACATTCGTATCATAACATCTTATTACTACGCTCAGTTGGTTGTCAAACTTTATCTTGCTTGATAATTCTCCAAACTCATATTTTAAGAAAATGCCTTAACAATATTTATGTCGTAAATAAGTATTACTCACTCAAGAGAATTAGCCACCTAACATCCCACTGTCATCTTGAACTTTTTCATTCTACATAAAATATTATTTAACCTTCAACATACATTACTATTATTCTATTTCCCTTTTTCTTGTAACCTCTGACACTCATATGCAACCCAATGAAAATTTATAACGTCAACAAATTATTTTTTATTGAACTTTATTTAAAAAATCTAAAAATTGTGTTCATAATAAAGATATACTTTAAAAAAATATGGTAAAAGTAAAGAAAATGTACAAATTAAAAAATCAGGGCCAGCCTGGATAGCTAAGGTTGCTAAGGGTGAAGAGCTGCCTCATGCCTGAAGGGTCGCAGATTTGAATCATGCCTGGGAATTGGATTGTGTATATCCGTACACTGTTACCCCCAATGTTACATCCAGTGTTCACTATATGACCTTAGTAGCTGAAAAGCAACCATAAAAATGAGGTTGAAACTGACAAGAATAAAATAGCAAAGTGAACTCACAGGGGAGACAGGGCCAATGGCTGGCTGAAGGCTTGATGCTGTGTCGCCTGTGAGGCCAGCACCTGGCACCCCTGAATTTGTTCCTCCGTTGGTTCCAGAGGGGAGTGAAAGAAGAGATGCCCTCTCTTCCTTCGGGGGCAGCAACCCTGCTGCTGCGGCTGCCAGAGGAGCGTTGGGGCGGCCGGGAGCACTGCTGTAACATCAACATCAGAGCTGACGTTCATTAAATCGCCACATCGAAGGCACAAGTGAAACTTCACTTGTGGCCTCTGTGATGCTTTTGTGACTCAAAAGTGAGATACAAGTGAATAAAAATTTAATATTTGCACATATGCCAATATTCCACATTTGCACCCCATTGCTGGAGGCAACAAGAGGAAGTTTCTGATAAAAGGATGTACAGATTTGAACAATTGAAAATTCACAAAGTCCACATTGCAATTAAATCAATTTGTTGTATTTTCTAAGATCTTGTTACTGTTTGTTTATAAAATATCAGAAAGGGCAGAGAAATTTTAAAAGCAGAATGTTTGGGTTCAAATAATGCAGTCTGTATTTTCTCAAGTTTGTCATCTGGTGATGAAATATTTTGAATATACCATTGATAATAATTGTTTTTAACATTAATGTGTTTATTATTAGAATAGATAAAGAAGCTATTAATTCTCTTTTTAACTTTTTCTACGTTTGTTTGAGCGTATCCAAGCGTCAGATCCCCCGAAACTAATGATACAAATGCAAAAATATAGCTTTTATTTATTTTTTTATACCAATGAAAGCTATTCAATATATAAATTGTTAATTATATAAATATTAAACATTAATTATGAAATAAAAGCGCATTTTACATTGAACATAAGTGAAAAATTCTTTATGGAAAAATAGAACGACAGCTGACCACTATACCTATAGTCCCACTAGGAGAAACATTCTGGGTGTGTTTCTGTATATGAAAAATAATCTGAATACATGGGAAATAATGATATGAATAATATTGCAGGCATGGAGAAGGCATGCGGTTTTAATGAATTTTAAAAGGAATACCAACAAATTTCTTCAATAATGAATTGTGGAATGTCTGCCAAATATCCAAAAGTTCATTTGTTGGTAAAATCTATACATATGAATTTTGGTTGTAAGAATGTTTCCCTTGCACTATGTACCCACTGAAGTGAGTCATCTACTTCATTTATGAAGCTAAATTGCCTCTAGAGCAAACAACATTCAATAATCGTGACATTAATCTTCCTAAATAAGTTCCTTGCCCTTTTTCTGATAGAAATGACCTGAAATATTCTGAAACATTGTATTGACAGAATTATGTATTAAGAGATAAACCCTTATTACAATTCATATGTGAAATATTTTAGTTTGGTTTTGTTAGGCAGAATGAAGACTTAATATTCTTCTAGAGAAACAGTTGAGGCACATACAACTAGAAGAGCCTGAAGAACACAGCAGTTGATGTTGAGATTTTATCGTCAGTTTTGTGCTCCTGTCATACACAAAGTGGAAAATTAGTTCATTAAGTTTGTTTTCTCTAAATGTATGAGAATATTAGAATAAGCAACATGGCATTGTTTTTAAAATGCATTATTCTGCTTTTATTTTTAGTTCTCAAAAGTCAAGTTTTCTCAGAAGTTTCTTTTGTGTGTTGTGACGGTTGAACATAAAACGTGTTTGTTTGTTGTCGGATGTGGGGCAGTTGAAAATTTTGACCCTGTTGTGATATTGAGTAAACCTATACTTCGATTTTCTATAGTGGTCTATGAAATTAGGGTCATTGTTACACTTCCTGTCTTATAAAATGAATGTTTGTACCAGTGGTAAGCACATTTCTGAGGCAACGGGCCCCGTTGCGAAGGACGTTCGCGAATGAATTAAAAACTAATTTAAGAAGTGAGGAGGTCTGGGGTGTAGGGTGCGAGGTCTTACATGGGTGCGAGCTCGAGCTGGCGCGGGCGCCTTGGCCTTGGCCTGGGCCTGGAAACGCGCCCGCCGAGCACCTTGCGCAGGCCCACGAGCACGGGCGAGGGCGGCGGGGGCGCGGCGCGGGCGGCGCGCGGGGCGGGGGCGGCGCGCACGGCCAGGAACAGCAGGAAGGCCCAGTAGCGCGTGGCTGGCGGGGCG